TCCGACGACCCCACCCTTTACCCCGTCGCCTCCAACGTTTGCGTGTCCCGCTCTGTCAGCCGTTGTACCTGCTCATGCGGTCGACCCCGACGTCGAGCTAATGGACGCGACCCCAACTCTTGTCAACTCACCACCTGACGCTGCTACTGCTTCGGACGACAAGTAGATGGATCCTACGCAGCCTTCAGTCAATGCTACCTCGCCTCCAAACATCAACAAGCGCCCGACGATGGTGATCTTGATGTGGCAGAAAAAATGATCCGACGCGATAACGCGGAAGACAAAGTGCGCATCGTTGTGTGAAGCCCCGACGCCCTTCGCTTGCGACATGAGCTTCAGTACATCTGGTGGTGACTGGTTGTTCATCTTGACTCGCATGGAGCAGTCGCGACCGTATGAGCTCACGCACACCAAATCCGATATGGTGATTGACACCGGTCGAACGTTTGCCGAGATTTCGCTCCAGAAAATCATGGTGTCGCGAGATGGCAAGCACTATGGTAACGAAGCTCTCGAGCAGCTGTAAGGCGATTCGCAATAGAGAAAATTTCGAAGCTCCCCGGCGGCAACCTGCACATGAATGTCAAGACCAAAGAAAATTTCTTAAAGCTGAAGCGCATAAATGTCAACATCATTCGTGGTGTATTCGTGTTTAAGGAGTCCGACCTACTGGATGTAAGCCAGTTTACGCACGTTCCACGAGGTAAACTTTGTGCATGAATCATGTCAGCCACCTGGCGCATTTACTTCCTCACAAGTACATGTCCAAGTGCGTTCATGGTAAATGGATCGGTGTGAGACAGATCCTGTTCGATAACCAGTCGCATCTGGCGGATGGCAAAAAGCTGCATCCCGGTCGGAACTACTGCTACCGCTCACACCACGGCATCGATCTTGGGACGACCGACTACAACTTTCTCGCCCAGAGTCTCGTAGCGAATTCAATTTACAGCTGCAGCAGTATCAACAAACTTCTCTGAAAATCGAGCGCGCGAGCAGTGAAAGCTTCGCCAAAGCAAACCTCGCTCCAAAAGGCTCATAAAACGCGATGGTCAACTCCAAAACGGAGCTCAGCATTGTCATCAACCTCCTGCCAACCGACTCGTAAATCCCCCAAGCAACCGGGAGGATCTCTTCCTTTAACAGTCTGAGCGGTAGGATGTCTTCTCGCAAAAATTCCGAAAACGAAGAATCCGCCAATGTTGCTCTTGACAGACGGCTTCTCCGCCAATGAACAGCAAAAGGAAGCGAGGTCACGGCGGATTCGATTTTACTGATCTTCTGGTGAAGTAAACACCAATGCAAATGGATGGCATTGCATCTGAGAAGTATTACAATGCGTTTTAGCCGATGGTGTTGTCGTCGAATCAAAAGACGTGATAGCCGACAAGAAGTACGGCGTGTGTCGCCAGATCTACCCTGTGTCCTGACACTGTGAAGACATCGTCCAAGTCCGCCTTCTTTGTGATCGAGCACTACATGAAGATCAAGAAGGTATCAACGGCACCCCCAGTCATGAAAGTGACCAAGTCGATGCTTGACGACGAAAACACGGCGCTTCTTTGAGCTCTCTCTGAATGTCGTGCGGAAGCAGAAAAGAAGTTCGACAAAGTGTGCAAGCTGCTAAGAAACGTCAAGAATGCTGACCACATCACAAAGAAGGCGATCGAGTGTCCACTCGCCCTTAATAGTGCGTTGTCGCTAAAGATGGAAGAAACAGGGCCGAAATTGCTGAGCGTGCGAGGTTGCACATGTGTTTTCAGCGACGCTGCCGGTCCAAGACTTCACTTTCGCCACCAAGTGGAAAAATGTAGTTTCATCAAATCGCCTTGACACCTTTAAGATGTGCGCCACGCCTGAGTCGATGCGAGAGCTGATCCGACCGAATAAGACATTGGGGATGTTCGAGTTGGCATAAATGTCCATTGCGCCGACAATCTCTGTTGATGATAATTGAATCCAGTATCACACGGGTCAGCCGGTCGAGTGGATTCCCGCGCACAACACGCGATTGCTGCACCCCAACACGCTTCTTTGTCTCCTACAAACGGACCTCGGTATAAACTGCATGCAGCACTCGAGTGAGATGAAGTGGCTGGGCCACTTTCTCGACTGCCTCAAAGCTGTGCGCAGGCTTCACGGGTACTAAACTGATGACTCGTCGGTGCTCCCTCTCAAGACTTAGACGGCGGCAAGGTGATGATCTCGGGCGGCTTGGCCTTTCGATGCTTAAACATTCGCACTACCTCCTCGGCGGCATGGAGCAACGTGAGCGTCCTCACTGCGATCACTAATGGCATCAAATAAAACGGTCACCAATTTATTGAGAGCTTGCTGTCCGGTCATTCGGTGTAGTGCTTCCAAGCAGCTAAGTTTGCAGACAGCACGCATATATCAACCTTCTCGTTTGACCTGAAGTCGAGCTTTGAGTACAAGGTCTTCGTGACTCGCTGTCTAATCCACCCACGAGATGGCGGAGGAGTGAAGTGCTCACGGTGCTCCAACCGGACATCACTGGCTTTGACTCGGCTATTGAACTCCCACGGCTGCCGCTCGCAAGTCGCTACCTCGTCGCGAATATGGTTGTCGATAGTGCTCTCATTTACATCCACAACTTGAATACGCCTCTGGATCGACAGAAAAATCTTTGAGAATCTCGACCGAAGGGTTGAAGGATTAAGTCACGCGCATTGTGATGGGCGATCTCAACACTCCTTTCGCACTCCAACTCAACGCTTTGCATCCTAACTTGAGGCTCGACTTGTTGAGTCTATACAGCTGCCTTTAGCAGTTAGCGAAGCTGGGTATCATCGATGCATGGCGGATCCACCTCGACACCAAGCGCGTCCTTCCTCGAAGAACCCGGACGTTGTGGACAAAATTCCTATATTCTGTATTAACAATCAGCTCATGAGGAGCATTCCGAGTATGTGATTCTACCACGAACACTAAGAAAATACATGACTAACGTGGGCGTTTACGCAAAATGTTTCTTGTCACTCGCCATGGCTTAAATTACTAAAATATACTCTCATAGACCTAATGAAATTATCAGTAGGAACTCGGAAGAGGTAAGGGAGTGTATCTTGCTGAAAGAAGACTTGAGTTTCATATCGGATCAATGAGGAGCTAGCGAACATATGTTTGGACAATATCGTGCGATAAATTCAACAGGATTAGTTGCTAGTTGGAGACGAGAGCGATAAAATTACGACAGATAAGGTTCCTGTCATTTAGGCCTTGCAATGCATAAGGCAACGCGAAAGGCTCTACGCTAACTGGCGTCAAACCGTGCGAGCGACCAAAGTAAGCTATAATATGCGAAATGCAACTGGAACCATGCGGATTTCGCGTCAGAAGAAAGCGGTTGGAAAGCTGTCCAGGGGTGATTCATGTATGAGTGGTCTCGCGACGATGTGGAGGTCAATATCTGAAGTATACTTCGGTCTTGCATGTTTCGCCGCGACATATAAAGTCGCGTAACTAATCCAAATACTAAGTTTTGAGTGTTATGGCCGATTGAGATGACGATGGAAAATCAATCAGGTTACAATCAGACAGCACGAGTCAGTACAACGCACCGTGAGTGCTAAGCGTGTAGACATTGGGATCAAATAATATATTAGATAGGTAGAGGGCAAAAATTTGCAGAGCATTGATGTGCACCTTCTCTGTAACGGGCTACACATACTCTGGTATTAGGGGTGTGTTTCACACCAGATGGGCATGGTGTGAAACACACCCAAACAGGAATACGGTTCGAGGCTGGATAGCCAGTACTTATACATGTATTTTGATTTTACTATACATATCTAGGAAAATCTATGCATTTAAAATTAGGTGGCTTTGCCGCGAATAAAATTAAATAAAGACAGTTTTGGATTTAAACGGAAAAGTTAATTAGCCGTGGGTTAAGGTTGTAATTACTCATGGAGTAAGCGGATTGCGATCCGCTAAACTCGTACTTGCTCTAAGTATGAAACGGAAGGTCGGTGACCTAACTTACACTTTCTCTAAGCACAAAGCTACGGCAGCCCTGCTGCATTCTTGCTCTAGTACAGAGGTGGATGACTTGAGGAAGTTGATTGAAGTGCAAGCACGAGAAGAAAGCGACAATGTAGATGGCGTTCTCATGCACGGAGAAAAAAAACAATATTCCCACGATCGATCAACACCTCGCAGGCAAAAGGTTAAGCGGGAGAATAATAATCTACAGGTGAGTGTCGAGATAGCATAGGGCGAATCAAGAAAGTTTCACAAGGCAAGAGTCGACACGACAATGGCAAGCCGGGTGGTTTACAAGTTTCAAAATGTTGAGAAGTGGCAGAGATTGGAGGAGTGCCTGAATAAACTTGGTCACTGGCACAACGGTCAGAAGGCATCTCCTAATTTTGCAGCCCCTGGCATGAGATCTTGCATATTGTTTGATTTATACGCTGGCGCCTCTTCTCACTTGCAATTTCTCGCTTGGCTCAGGTTGGCGGGCGATAAATCAGAGCTCGGGAGGTACGGGCTTGGTTTATCGTCTGCCGATCTACGTCGGGATAGCGCATTTTGTTTGCACAGCTCAATAGCACAGCTCAAAAACATTGTAGCTTACGTATTATTAGATTGTGGCTCACGTATTGTTAAAAGCACAATACATATAACCGTCAAATTATACGTCTACACAATACTATTCGTGAGGAAGTGCGGGGGCAGAATATTAGGAGAGCTGTCGATGTTTCTGACCTTTCCGAAAGTCGTGAAAGAGTAGGTGTAGTTACGACAGCGCACAAATGTGTGTCTATCATGTAACACATCCATGGACACTTTCTAACAAGCAAGGAGTGAAATAATATCGATGATGTCTAATTCTAACATTTTGTGATCGTGGACAGGCCATGCCATAAAATGGACAGATTATTAGAAATTGTAATAATTCTCATCATTGACACTACTTACGTTTTTGCACTGTCTCCACCAGCACAGAAAAGTCTAACGTAGAGAAGAAACATAGGAGACTGGCGCCATATCATTTGTCCAACGTATAGACGTCAGCAGGAGAAAAGATTTAATGTTTACGCGCTCTGTTAATTAAAAAGCCATTGTCAAATAGAAGTTTCAGGCTCGTTCAAAACCTCGTTGCCTTTCGAGGAAAAGACAAAAGGTTGCATGCTCTATAATCTTTGTAGATATTTTGCAGGATAATTTGCGAACTTGACATGCGAGAAATCCACTTAAAGTGGGGCAAGTGGCATGTACCGCCGATCGGCAAATCGAAGATCATTTTCGAACTTGCATCCACTCTTCACTTTGTTTTCAAATTATCTCCACGATGAGATTTTGTGCCCCACTCTCCGCCAGTATCATGCTCGTGACTCAAGTGAGTGCGTTTGGTGTTTGCTATGATCCGGATCATTCTGCATTAAACGGCGCAATGACTGCAGCCACTGTTACAGAGGATCTGAAGATTATTAAACAGCACGGCTTCAACAGCGTTCGCACGTACATTTCAAAGTTTGGTGACACGAACTTGGGTCTGCTCATTGACGACGCCAACCTCACATCAGCTTTAGGAGTGCCGTATCCGCAGGACGACTATCTTGAACAAGTAGATGCAGCTGTTAAGGCCGCAAATACTGGATGCGTCTCCTACATTTTTGTAGGCAATGAGAATCTTGCAGATGCTACCAGCGTGCCTCAAGATATGATTGCTACTATTCAAAGCATCAAGTCACTCGTGCCAGACCACGTCAAGGTAGGAACAGTCCAGCGTAACACCGAAGTGCTTCACCACTCCTACATCCACGGCTGGTCGGAATTAATTTCTGTTTGCGATGTTTTGGGTGTGAACATTCACCCTTACTTTACACCGGGAACGACTGCTCACAATGCCATCGATGTCGTCAAGAGCCAATGGACCGCTATGGTAAAAAATTTTGGCGACAAGCTTCTGATCACAGAGACAGGGTGGCCTTCCGAAGGAGGACTTTCGGGCACAATCGGCAGCCCCGCCGGCTTGCAGACTTTTTACAGTGACTACAAAACATGGAGCAGCTCGTTAGATGAGTGTTTCTACTTTCAAATGTTTGATACGCCTTACAAGTCTAGTCCGTACGAAAAAACGTTTGGTCTGCTTGCGGCTGATGCTGTCGACAAATTTGATTTTGCATCAGTGATGCACTTTGCGTCGAATGCCATTCCAAACGCTGCGAAGATGGTCGACTCCATTCTCTCTGGTTTGTAACAGTTGCCTTAATTTCTTGTTCAGCACGACGATACTACCAGCCTTTTTCTAAAGTTATCTTTTATTGACACTACATGCACAATTCAATGAAAAATTAATAAATCCATTTACTGTAAAATAATACTATGCAAAACCGCAATCCGACAGAAATTCCGATGTCGATGTCCGAATGGTAAGGCCAGAGCGCAGATTGCATTGGATGCTATTACCCAACGAAATAATGTGATGATACCAGAATGATGGAATGTACAGCACTTCGCCAGCGGTAAGAGCCACTTCTGCTGCGGGGCAATTTCGTTCCATTTCCGAAATCGCACTTGTGTTTGACCAATTCAATGTTGTGTGGCGCGCAGATTGACCCTCAGTAATGAGACTCAGACAGTGACATGAGCTGGGGGGAGCAAGGACATAGCGCTTAGTTCCGCGTACCATTGCTACATGATTTAGTCCACCATCAAAGTGTCCATCAGCAATAATACCTCGCATTCCAAACCGACAACGCATTCCAGCATCTTTAGCTATTGCAGCATCACGGATAAAAAAATCTCCGAATCGTGGATCATGGTCGACCAGCGTTGGGTTTAAGAATTGAAGCTCTTTGTAGATAAATGCCGCTTGCTCCATAAAATCGTTCTTTCGGAGCATCATATAGTAATATTCGTAAGGCTTCCCAGCCGTTTGAAGCTGCTTACTTTTAATAAGAGCCTGTACAAATTGTGAATAGGTCATCATTCGCGATTCATACGTGTCGATCTCACCGTCAAGTTTCAACTTCTTGTTGAAAAACATGAAATGACTGTCATTCGCAACGTGCACCTTATACAGCTCGGTTGAAGTTAGCTGTTGCATCAGATACTCGTCTGTCCAGCGCTTTAGAGCAGCGTTAAGTTCAGGAATGCCATAAGTGACAAAAGGCACCTCCATTTCTCGAAACATTTGAGCCAGTCGAAATTCAGTCTGTGGTCAAGCATTAAATCACTTTTGCTATCAGATTCAATCCAGAATCAATTCCGTATACAGCATCACTGTCACGCACCGGGTCGGAGATATTAAAGTGGCAAATGCTATCAAAGATAGAGGCTGGTACCTGCTCGGTATCCTCTTGCTTCCAATAGTCAAATAATGCTGAAGATGGGAATAATTGCGGGTAAGCGTTGCACCCCACGCCCCGGTCCATGTCGCACTGGAACCGAAGCGACGGCAAATCACACTGAAACTTGTTGGACGTCCCATCAGGGTAAGTCAAAGGGAGATCTCGCTGCAACGGTTGACCCTCCAGCTCAACAACTACAGAGCCGCCACCCCACCGCAAAAGATTTACACTTTCGCTTGCTTTATTTGTTATTCCCAGATATGAGGACAATGTGGTAGTCAGTGAAACCATGGGAGAGATCATTCCTCTCAGACTTGAAAATACAATTCCAGTCAGCAACAGAAGAAACACTGCGGCTTTGCCACAACGGCCCCGACGAAGTTCCCATGCACCACGACGTAGGATTGAGATGGTGCGTGTTTGGGCGGAATTCCATGACTTTTTTTCCATCACTAAAAACTGAAATGACCACATTTAGTAAATAAGCTGCATAATAGCCAGTCTGATACTCGGCAAATGTGGAGTGCACCACACAAACTGCCTACAGCCTTCGGCAATTTCAGAAGTACTAATATGTAAAAATAATGCTATCGAGCCTTATACTTATTGAAATATGTGGATTCTGTTATTTAAATAGGACAAAGTTTAGCATTAATGCAATTCAAAATAATATTCAATACATAAAAAAAATATAGGCAACTACTATCGCATGTAGTAAAACTGTCCATAATTTATGACATGCTCGCAGCACATACATCGTAGGAATCAGTCTAACAAATAATCTCACTTCTTAATTCGACAACTACCGTCCAACACCTCATAAGTACGAACAATTCTTACAATTTCTAAAAATTAAAGTTTGCTCCAGAATAGATGAGACTGCGTTCTACTTTTGTTTGGCTAGCACGACTCGCTACTTGCGATCAGAGTTTCTGATGCAGATAGTCGGCTTTATGGGAGGAGATGACGCTTTCTTGCTTAAACTGATCCGAGATTTGCTCAAAGGAATGCGTCTATGGCAGCAATCATTGACGCTAAGAGCTTGTTAATCGCTGCCATTTCATCTTGCAATTGATAATTCCTTGCGAGTCTTTCGTAGTAAAGTTAAAATTTGACATACTGTTGTTGCTCCTTTTTCTAAAGCTGCTTCATGTTCTGCTGCACCGTGCATGGTGTATCTTATACAACATTTGGCTGCTGGCTCACCACAAAATAATCAGGATTAGGCTTCAAAAGCTAAAAATGATTGCTGTAGCTAGGTGGGCTATTGCGACGAGCTTGAGTCTTGTTTGGCCTTAGCGACATAAACTGTTTTTGCGCCGATGTTACCGCTGATGAAACCACATTTTCTATGATCTTGTCAGTGGACGAATTTTTTCTTCAGAAAGTGGAAGGATTTGTAAGAGAAGCACCACAATTCTCAAAATTGCATGATCGCCCTCTCGAATCTCAACGAGCAGGTCGTGCGGCATTTTGGACTGCTCACGTAGCTGAGACCCATCAGGTACAGGCTGTGCTTGAAATGGCTAGTGCCCCATCAGCTTTAAGAAAAAAACTTTTTTCTTGAAAATGGATCGAATCACTGTTCAAGCTGATTACACGACAGGTCTACAGGAGAGACTAAAGGATGCAATCATCGACATGAAGAAGCATTAAGATGATATGTTTGCTCATTTATCACGCCACGTAGGATTGCAAGAACATGTGCGGGGATATGAACTGATCATACCCTGAGCGAGCAGCTTTTGACATCACTACACGCCGAGTTACGAGAAATACCGTCTCGTGAGTACAATGCGAAGTGCCGAGCTTGGGGCTGTTGAACCAAAGTGAATCAGAATGCACATTTTTCAATGCACAATTTAAAGAGTGGTACGTGAGCTTGAGCACACCACGAGGACGTACTCTCCGATAAAATCATTCCAAATTGTTCCACCTTAGGGTCGGCGCTTGCTAGCTTAAGAAAAACCATAGGAATTCATGGTGCAATCAAAAAAAATTTAACTCGAGATCGAAATTGTTTATTTAAGTTTACGACTTGCTGTAACTTCGCAAGAGACAATTGTTTATGCAGATATTCGAAAACTCCAGATATCATGAGCTTGCTAACATGCAAACTTGGTTGCTTAGGGCTCTTTAACCAGCTTCAAATTGGCACAAAAGCAGATCTTTGCGACTTGGGAGGTTTTACTAGGTGCTCATTCGTATCTGTGCTTATTTGTCCCACATGAAAATTGCAGGCAAACTATCACTCGATACGAGCAATGTCCTCGAATTTTTTTACTGATAAGACTGTTTGTAGCATCGCTGCTTCAAATGTCATGTTGCAATTTCTAAAGGTGACTCCTGTTTTCTGCATTTTAACAAGCTCGATAAGCATCTAATGTTTTCCCCTGATAACTTAGATCTAATGAGATAGATTTAATTATGGCGGCATGACGAGGTCCGGCAGACAATGCCGGACAGCATATTCTTACTCACTTAATCCTTCTTTGATACCAGCTACAACTTGCTGGTACTGCGGAAATTGCGCTATGTCGCCGGAGTAGACGAGACTTGGAGGATTTTGCATTGCCTCCCTCACCACTCGCTGAAGATCTGCGGCTGTAACCTGGTCAATCTTGGCACAAACCGACTCCGGTGACTCACGCTCCCCATATGTGAGTAGCTGGCGACCGATGTCTTCATACAAGATCATTCGGGATTCAAGGTTCATAAGCACAGACGACTTGAGTTGATTTTTCGCACGTCCGAGCTCAATTGCATCAACTGGTCGATTAGCGACACTAAGCATTTGATTACACAAAAGTGCCACGAGGTTGCTGGTGTGCGACGGGAGACAAGCACCGTAAATACCAAGAAGACTCACGTCCGCATGTATCGATGAAAATGCAAAGGCCGACTCAACCCAGTAGAAGCGGTTCAGGACGCTTGTGTACAAACGTGAGTACATTCCCTTACCAGGACCACCAGCAGAAAAACTGTCGCCTCCACCAAGAAGGGTATGTAATACACAGATGGGCACCAGGTCTTCGTGATGCCAACCACCAGTGGGAAATGCCAGTGCTGCGTAAGAAAACTCTGAATCAGGCTTTGAAAGTGGGTACAATCCTCCAGTGTAAATTACTGGCTCAAGCGTCTCAGGACTCGAAGGAGTAGCCATTTTTGTGCCAGCCGGAGCTATTCGCACATTCGCAAAGAGCTTCTCCGCGGACTCGACTAAGCGAGTATGATCCACACCAGAGCCAGCAAGGACCATCTTCTGGGCGACAAAGTGTTCATCGCGAAATTTTTTCACTTTATCCACAGTCAGCGCATCGATCTTGTCGAGTGGGCATTGCAGTGGTCGACCAAGCGACGTGTCAGGACCGTAAGCAGCGGCGTGAATGAATTCTTGTAACATTGCTGGAGCGTTATCTAACAAGTCCTCCGTTTGAATGCGCATGATTGCCTTTATACCCTCCAGTTCTTCAGGCACTAGATTGACATTGAGAATGGCATCAGCAAGCAGCACTAGCCCTTTTTCGACATTGTCTCGCAAAAGGTCGATTGTGTAGATGATCTGCTCGCGCCCACATGAAGACGTGGTGAGCGCACCAATATCTTCAAACTCGCGTACAAGCTGCGCGTGCGTACGCGAGGTAGTACTTTTAAAGCCAAGGTGCTCCAGCAAATGGCTGACTCCAACGCTGTCATCGTCCTCAAAGCGACTTCCAGTATCAATGAAGATACCTAAAGTGGCTGCCTGACCGTATGTTTCTTGCGAAATGACCCGCAAACCCGAAGGCAGCACCGAGATCTGAGTCTGGGGAGCCTCAAGTTGGCTAGCAGGTTTTAGCTTTGGAAGGCCCGACAGCTCCTTCTCTAAAGACAATTGCGACTTGAAATTCTTGGGCAGCTCTGGCCGCAATATGTCCGTGGGATCTACCGTCGTTGAAGGCGTGTGAGCCTGCGAAAATGAGCGCAATGTTAATGGTAGCGAATGATGTCGTGCCACATGGTTGACGGAAAGCTTGACGGAGCGATCAACTGTTCGACGCAGCGCCTTTAAGCTTCGCAACGACACCATCATAACACTTGGTTTGATTTGCTTGAGTAAAATAGCTTATCCGTGATTGGTGTAAAGCACATTTAATCAAATGCTCTCACTCCGTGCTAGCCAATAGTCCGATGGCTGGTAAGCGGAAGAAGACCCACTGGGCTGTCCGTCGCAAAAATAAGCAAGCGCGTCGTGAGAAAGATGACGATCAGAAGAATCAGGATTCACATTTTAATCGTCGCACCAGTCGCCCTGACGTCATTCATCCGGGATCGTACGCATCAAAGCGCGAGAACTCTAAGAATCCAGTGGTGGATGCGACTTCGCTGCCACCCAAACGCCGCTACGGAATATGGGTGGCTTTTTGCGGCAAAAACTACAGTGGCATGCAAATGAATGAGGGTGTCAAAACGATTGAGGCGGAGCTAGAGCGTGCATTATTTGAAGCTGGTGGCATCTCTGAGAACAACTATGGCTTTTTGCAAAAAATTGGTTGGAGTCGCGCAGCCCGCACTGACAAAGGAGTTCACGCCGCCGGTCAATTAATAGCAGTAAAACTTCATGTAGGTAACGACATTGCTGCCTTCGTCGCTCGAGTTAATGCTGCGTTGCCTGAGGACATTCGTGTAATGCAAATGGTCACTGTACCCAAAAACTTCAATGCCAAGATGTCATGCGACCAACGCATATACGAGTATCTCGCTCCCACATTCATCTTTGGTGAACGTTCCTTTACTGCCTCGAACGGTGCAGCAAAAAATATTCTGGCTGAAAGGACGACTCAGTGGGCGTCGGACTCTGAGGCAATTTTTGATGATACGGTTACGATTGACAAAAAGACGCTAGAAGCTCAAAAAGCCTTTCGACTCAGTAGCGAGATGCTTCAGCGCCTGAGAGAGATTCTTCAGCAATATGTCGGCACGCACAATTTTCATAATTTTACATCCAAAATGGAGCCTACTAACCCTCAGGCAAATCGCTACATCATTTCATTCGAGGCTGAGAATCCATTCGTGCAAAATGACATGGAGTGGGTACGTCTGCGTGTAGTTGGACAGAGTTTCTTACTGCATCACATTCGCAAGATGATTGGAACTGCGGTGGAGATTATGTCGTGTGTGGCAGACTCTTCGACTATTGAACGTGCCTTGCAGCCGACAAAAATGGATTTGCCTAAGGCACCTGGGGTCGGACTTTACTTAGCACAAGCTTGCTTTGAGGTGCACAACCTAAAGATGACAGAATTGATCGAGACATCGCATCCACCTCTTGATTTAAAGGAACCCGCTGTTGCTGCTGCAGTCGAGCAATTTAAACGGGGCTTTATTTTCGATTACATCATCAAACATGAAGAAAGCACCCGCACATATGCAAAATGGCTACGTATTATGGAATTGTTACCATTTTCTTATGTTCCAAAGCCATATCTAATATGGAAGAAGGAAAAAGAAGATGAAGCTTTACGCACTGATCGAGCTGGCAAACGCGAATTGGCTAAAGCTTCTCTTTTATGTATTGATGCTTCGGCATCTAAAAGTGCAACAACGCTAGCTGTTGAAGGAGTAAGTGATGGAAAAAGAAAAGACGTGATAGCATCGGCACTTCATGGTTGAGAAGATTCGTGCTTCTTGTGCAAATACCGCGGATGTAAGCTGGATGCGCTCAGGTGTCCGGTAAATGAGTGATCTGATTTCTGACGGTTTTCTTAAACGAGGCATATTTTTAGGTTTATACACTGATGGATCTGTAAAAAGAATTTTTATCGATTGCTTTTATCTTTTCCACTTCATTCCAGTTGCTGGCACTTACGTGTAAATTTCTCGGCATGCAAGATCCTTCCGAGTTAACAGATACAGCACTGAAGCTATCTCAAGTAATTGAACGGGAAGCCAAACGACGTTCTGGTCATTACAGCTCAAAACTCTTCCATGTTCAGACACGCTTTTCGTCATTCTCACGACAGAAAACAGATATACCACTCAAAGCTCAGCAAATGCAGCGAAGCTATCGCAGTCGCCGATCGATGTCCGTGACTCCAGCACCAGAGCTTGCTACCATTTCAGCGGTATCTAATAGCTGCAATCCACAAGTTGTTGACCTGAGTGTACCTAAAAAAGCAGTGACACGCCGAATTTCCAAAGTTATTCCACAGTTAAAGCCGGACGACAATGATGAACCCGTTGGCTGCATGAACAAAATTTGGGTATTTTTCGAAGATCCCCAGTCTTCCACACCAGCATATTATTTCTCGCTGTGTATATATGGATTCATTATCCTCTCTACATTTGTCTTTATTGCTGAAACAGAGGCAGTGTTTGACTCTTACTTGGTAGTACTGACGGCATTAGAGGCACTTTGCGCTGGTGTCTTCTCTTTTGAGCTTATTGCACGCTTTCTCGTATGCCCCAACAAATTGATCTTCATACAAAGTACGCACCTATGAAACATGTAATTACTGAGAAATACGAGCTCTAATTTGATTTGATTCCCACTCTAGACTTCTCAAATTGGGTTGACTTTGTGGCGGTCTTTCCATATTATTTAGAATCCCTTCTGGCTGTAGACAATGCCGGATCTTTGGGTGCCATTCGAATTGTTCGGCTAACGCGAGTAGCACGCGTTCTGAAAATGTCACGTTACTCATCGGCAATTCAGGTTTTTACTCAAGCTGTGGCCATCAGCTTTAAACCGCTGACCATGCTGATCTTTCTTATGTCAATTGCCATGATCATTTTTTCCTCAGCTATTTATTTTGCTGAGTACACTGCCGATGGCTGCCGTGCAGAAGGATGGATGGGAAATTGTGAAGTAAATTCTTCAGGAGAACTCAGCACAACAGACATTGTGTATTCTGTATCTGCCGCTGCAGCTGTGGCATCAGTTTCGGCGAGTCATGGCTGCGTTTGCGTCGATCCGAATCCGTATCAAGGCATCGCAACGTCGTTCTGGTGGTGCATCGTGACAATGTCTACAGTTGGTTACGGAGACATGACCCCGGTTACGCTGCTTGGCAAGATTGTTGGTTGCTGTACTGTTCTTACAGGTATGCTCGTACTTGCCCTGCCCATCACAGTGATTGGAACGAATTTTCAAAAAGTTATGAAATCATTTATGCACGAAACGATGATGAGCAACGTGGATTATCTCAAAGGAAAGCGCATGATCTGCCGAAACGAAATAGAAGCTATTCTTGGGAGGTTTCATGCAGTGACTGAAGGAATTCATCTCGACATTGACGACATTATTAACGTGTACGATAAAGATAATAGTGGCATGCTTGAAGACGATGAATTGGCTAAATTTCGTAATGATCTTGAAGTCTTGCAAAATCGGGCCTTTACCAATCAATTAGTTGTACCCGGTATTGGTCTTCGTTCACCCTCCATTAGTCCAAGTCGTCGCACGGCCTCATTTACTGATTTCTTATCCCAAAGTAAGGCTACGCGTTTAAATAGCATAGGTCGTCGACGCAATATGAGCACTTCAACTGTGCAACAATCATCGGCCGCTGTAATGGGCTCATGCCCCGACATAAGATCAATTAATCCGACTCCTGCCATAATCTCGGCTTCGCTCCTTGGGCCGAATGATGATACAGCAGGTCTAACAGGCATTAAGAATATATCTACGTTTAGCAGCAGTTCCCATCACGGAATGCTGGACAACGAGCTACTGCTTCGGCTGCTGGATATGCAGGATATGTTTCAGGAACGTCTTGTTGAAACAGAGCAGCGCCTTGAAGCTAAGATGAACAACATTACGAAAGTGCTGATGCGCCTTGAAGGCATGATGGAGATTGACAGATAATGACAGTACTGGCTGGCCATAATGCTTTAGATATGCTTCAGCTCGGACTACAATAGACATAAAATCGATGGTATCTTTGGTTCTAACTTTGAATACGTCATACAGGGCGTTCCCCATGCCACGATCTCCTAATTTAAGTGTTTACTTACGCGCATGGCTGATGTGCCGCCAAGAAAAACGCGATCAATAATGGCTAACCTTCATCGGTGCGAAAATTGATGTCGGCTTTTACGTTTATCAGGGCTGAAACTCAACGCGGCTACACTCACCGTATAGCCTGATAAAATTTTATGACAAATATCTAGAACTAGCTCAAAGAGCTCAACTTGTTTGTCGAAAAGCAAACTAGTCGCGGCGATTTTGAAAAGGTCGATAAATACACATTCACGACATGATATGGCTTTAAACGAAAGCCGAATCACGTGCTGCAGTGCAGCTCTTTGACAACAATATGCGTGTGAGAGCTAGACTCGTACGCAGAAACAATTCCGTGATTCTAAAGTCCACCTCCTCAGTGGGAACTCTTAGCTGGATCATTAGTGTCGAAGCCCTTTTTGCATTCCGTATCATTTGGTGCCTTGGCGTGGTGATATTTTTGACTGCTCAAATTTTGCATCCGCATAAGAAAACTTGTGGCCTCATCCAAAAAGAAGCCGTTGTCTAACTGCAACCTTTTTTAATGCGTGTGCGTGAACCTGCAAGTATATGGCGCAATGTCGACGTCGAGGCAGTACTCACACTCCTTTCCAAAAATCAACCATGCTTGTACCGATGAGCATGCCTGTACAACTGAGGCCAAGTCTCGAACAAGAAACCAACCTGGACCCCACTCATTAATAAAAGCCCCGTTCCGCTGCACAACTCTGTCACTTTTCCTTGAGAAAGAGATGGCAGGGGGTATGTCGAGTTTGATCGGCAACGACGCTAGGGCAATACAGCCGAGGTGTGAGCATAAAGAATGAGTTATCGGAGTGACCTTAACGCTTTAACTTATACTCTTGGTGAGTTCGTATAACCCCCAAACTTACAGAGGGAAGTGGGTTTGGCCTTGCTCATCAAGCACAATCGACGGCAGACGGCCCTTGCGAGTAGCTCAAGTGGCCTACATATAGCGAAGTGCATCAACTATACCCCAAGAACCGATTCATTGATGTCAATATCATATGTCAAAGACCTTCTAGGAGGTTTACAATCCAATCGATTGTCTCGAGGCACCCTTGCAGTTCAAAGCCGCATCGTTGAAGGTATTTATTTCCAATAGTATGTCTTGCTTTTGGATGGATTTCAACAAAAGCAGTTATATGGCTTAAAGAAAGCCACTTTAATCACATGATGTGGTCGCTTTGTCTTGGGGAAAGTTTTATCGTTCGTGTAGATCGTAGCTTCGAGTCACCGTGCCGCACTTCGAACATGACTCTGAGATAAAAAATAAATTTTGTTACAAAAAATAGCGGGTCGATGTGGAAAAGTCAATCAATATTTATATCTCTACCTAATTAAGTCGCTAGAGAACCGCGGGACTTTGCTAAATCAGATGTGAAAATAGTGCATAGGCAGCACTCCCTACTTACCTGCTTCATTTACTAACCCAGCTGTTTGTGGCTGGAGATTTTCGCCAGCATTACATAAATTAGGCAATTGCCTTGTCACAATTTGTTTGAGGTGACACTTATATTAATATGTTTGCGTTGAATTAGTGCAACTCAGTTGGTGAGAGTGTGTCGCTCCGCACCGCGGTTGCTCTGTATACATGCTTAGGAGAGTGTTTTCCACCAAGCAATTCACACATTCCATTTGAACATCAATATGTGGATAGACCTTGCCGTGTATAAGGCAAGCCGAGCATTAATGGAAGCCCGTTTTGCTGCACAATCATTTTGATATTTTGGGTAGGTAATGACAGATGGTGTGACAATTAACCATGCGAAAATCTTGCAAAGTGAAACCGAAAACTTACCATGGCCCTTGAAGTGCGGATGATTCTTCTGCTTTACCTGATACAAGTCAGGCCCTTTGTGTATGCCACCCACTATCCGTATCACAGTAAAGTAACATTCTCCTTGCTAACGAGCTGAGCTGTTAGAGGTCCCAAACACGGCTGGATCTCGGGATATTCCGTGATGCGGAAACGCGTCGAATCTATCAACGATTCTTAATGTGCATCTAGCGCGAACTTTTTGATTCGATCGCAGAGCCGTGCAAACAGATCGATGCTTGACGCACCCCAAGGAAGCATTATAACTTATTGCTATAGAGCGGAGGTTACATCATTTACAAGGACATTTATGTCCGACGACAAAATCTAGCAATAGAACGCCATGCGCTCAAGTGGCTCGTGAGAGCGAAGTTGGGTCAGCCCGTGTGTGACTCAGGGTGCATTTTCATTCGCTAACGGATGTTCTGAGTAATACTTTATCCCATCACAGGTTTCAGTGCGCGAGTATCCAATTAATCAAAATAACTACGATACCGCCAGTGTGGGGTTGTTATCAGCGTTTGATAAAAACCTCCCAAACACCATATTCATTTGTGTCTTATCTGCCTCAGGTTATTGTATTGTGATTTGTTTATCCCGCGTCACGCACTCCAATTACGTGGCCAAATCTTTTCCAGCTGTAAATCGTCAGTTTTGCTATTTTAAGCAGTCTGACTGATACCAGTGAGATGAATTGTACCGACAACCCCTCCTCCACAAAAGATGGATCATTGTCAGCGCAACGTCAAGGGAGACGAAGAAAGGGGAATTTTCGTTGTAATGTATCTGTGTCAGTACTTGGTATGAATGAGGCTGAAGGACTTGAGAGGTGTGAGATATACCGC